AAATCATAGACAAGGTAAATGCCCATAAAAGTGGCCTGGTGGAGGCCGATATGCTTTAGTGTACTCACTTGATGTACCGTCTAGAATATAAATTAATTTAATTTTCTCAAGTGTTAAGAAGGCATAGGCGATAAGGGATTTGATTCAAGGACGAAATGTGAACAAGTCAGACATGATTGGCATTCAATTATATGGGTTTGTTGGTTTTACATTAAAATATTGTTTATATTATGTATATTAATTGTTAAATACAAAAGGATACATTTTGCTCTATACCTAAACCTCGTGTTTTAGGGGTTCCATGACACATGCTCCGCCGACGATTGCTCCGCCGACAAATGCTCCGCAAAAAGCGACAATTGCTCCGCGACATTTGCTCCGCGACATTTGCTCCGACGTCAAATGCTCCGCCGACAGTTGCTCCGCCGACAATTGCTCCGCCGACATTTGCTCCGCCGATATTTGCTCCGCCGACAATTGCTCCGCCGACATTTGCTCCGCCGACATTTGCTCCGCCGACAATTGCTCCGCCGACATTTGCTCCGCCGACAATTGCTCCGCCGACATTTGCTCCGCCGACAATTGCTCCACCGACATTTGCTCCGCCGACATTTGCTCCGCCCCCAAAGTACCCCTATAGATCTAGCTTTTAAGTCGATTCGACAACTAATAGTCGTTATTTTCCCACTTAAAGACATTTTCAAGCCCCCCCCCCCCTTTTTATGGAAGTTCTAAATTAGTATTTACTTTCAAATGCCGCTGGAATTTAACCTTTTCATTTTGTTGGGCCTGCAAATGGGACATAGTACCTTTAAATGTGTTTGTGCCCTCCCTTTCAAGGGACAAGAAGACACAGTTACTTAATATGTAAACAAAAATATGCCTATAATTATTATCAAAAGAGAAGTGCAAAAGAACTCGCTCACATGCTACGCTAACTCGCGATTATAAATTTTAACATATTCATTTGACGAATGTGCAGCTCCTAAACGTCAAACGAAGAATGGCGGAAGGCAGGTAGATGCTATTCAATATAAAATAAGCTTAAAACCGCCCGATCGCTCACAATGAAATTGACATCGCCTTAACTATGAATGTGCCCGACCCCGTCCTGCAGCAAGAAAACTCTGTTTGATACTCATTATTGTTGACAATAATTCTTTGGTTGAACGCTCGCTCTTCAGTTTATGGTATAAACGTGCCCATTTAATCAAGGAGGGAAATTAAACAGGAAGATGCTATTTAATATTAATGATAAGTCTACATTTTAGCTCTCTCTCTCTCTCTCTCTCTCGCTTTATACCATCGCTTACCAATAGGGAATAAGTAAAACCCCCGCCCCCCCCCCCCCACTCCGTGAACAAAATGCAAAAATAAAATTAAAAAAAATAAACTGAACGGAGGGATACCATGCGTGTTCCTAAACTCTCCGGCTCGTAAGAAAAGAAAAAGGTCGACCCGTATTGACTTTACACACCGGACTTTTGCTGAAAGGGGGGGGGGTCGCTTGGAACACGCATATGCGTACCCTAAATAACACTGAGTGGGGGCCGGGGTAAAACCTTAAATGATATTGTACCCAAGGAAAGAAAAAAAATCACTACTTGTTGAAAGAAGGTCTATAAAGGTTGAACAAAGTGTACCTGTTACTTAAAAGTTTCTGCACCTGCTCCCCCCCCCCCCCCCCCCCCTCTCAAAAAAAGGATTGCGTCTTTCGCAAAGGTTTATCACTTTTTTTTTCCCATCGGTGTCCTCTGATCGGGGAATTAAAACGCATCCCCTTCTCAGAATGCTGGCTACGGCCCTGAATAACACAAAACAAAAAAATAACTCATGAAAGAAATATTGACAGGCGGAGCAAATGTCTGCGGAGCAATTGTCGGCGGAGCAAATGTCGGCGGAGCAATTGTCGGCGGAGCAAATGTCGGCGGAGCAATTGTCGGCGGAGCAATTGTCGGCGGAGCAATTGTCGGCGGAGCAATTGTCGGTGGAGCAAATGTCGGCGGAGCAAATGTCGGCGGAGCAATTGTCGGCGGAGCAACTGTCGGCGGAGCATATGTCGCGGAGCAATTGTCGCTTCTTGCGGAGCATTTGTCACCGGAGTAATCGTCGCCGGAGCATGTGTCGGGTTACCGTTTTAGGTACTAATATCAATGGGCAATGTAGTCGACCTTGTGAGCTCATAAGTATTATCTAAAGTGCCCAAAGTCTACATTTAGTGACACTACGTGTGTTTTTAACTATTGACTAATACGCTTAGGTCAAAGTTCGAGACATTTTGTGGCACCGCTATATATATATATATATATATATATATATATATATTGCTAAACAAAGCAAATCTGCCACAAACTGTAAAAATATGTGAGAGAACGAGATGATACGATACTCGCTTGTTATAATTATGTTTTAAACAGAATTGATATTTCACCTATAAATGTACTCATAAAAATAAAGGGTCAACCTTAAATTTTCTAATCTTTAGCTAATGTCCAATTTGAATGAAATATTGCTTCAGAAGTTCAGGCCATGACTTACGTCATTAAACTAAAATATAGTGACCTACCAGTTTCACAAACACGGTAATAATATTTCTGTTTAGAGATATTGTTGATGTGATTAAAGGCTATATAAAAGCGGAATATCATTATGTATTATCAAAATATGCCAATTTAAGCCAATTTACGCGGCTTCGCTCTCTACGCTCCACCTGATTGTAAATACTAAAAAAACGTTCCGCGGGACCTGAACATGTACTTGGTTTAATGCCAATTATATTGATTCTGCTCGTGTACATATTGTACATTGCGAAACATTGACCCGTTGCCATAGAGATGTACGTGACGCTTTCTATCTGAGAGCCATATTATAATGAAGATGTCAACGCCCACTCCTCCCTGTCAATCTCTCTTGTCTTTCCTTTCATTCTCCTTGCTCTCTCTCTCTCTCTCTCTCTCTCTCCATGATATATATGAATATATTTATATGTGAATTTATATATATTTATTTATATGTGTGTAAATATTAAAGAATATAGTGTATCCGATATTAATTCCAATAGTGTGCATGAGATACATTTGGGCCTATATTTATAAATATATACATGTTATCGAGTTAACTATATATTGGTCAAAAAAGACATAACATTATATACTCACCGCTTGTGCAAATCACTTCCTATAAAGCGAGTACATATATATGAAGTAACAATGTCTCTCGATCAGAACAGAGATCCAATGCATGCCTATATGACCATTAACATTATGAAGAAACGTATCTCATCCTGAAACTTGGTTTCCAAAGGCGAAGTGACGAATACTCCATGCTAGCTATATGCTCCTAAATGATATGCAACCATGCACGTGCATTGAATTACAGCCATTATGTTTATACCCGCTGTTGTGGTTACGCTCTACGCGTTGAAGTTGAAGTGCAGTCCATAAAGCTTTTTGTGTATGAGCGGGGAAGGTAGAATCAACGAAGTGCATTATTTGCGGACTGGTTTTCTAATTACGGTCATGATCATTGTGTTGATCAACCTGGTTTGCACAAGGGACGTGCGTGGAGCGCAAACGATATTAGGGACTTTTAGATTCGCACGAAGACAATAGGTCTATGCTACGATCGACGTCCTTTTAATGCACTGCCCTGAATGGACGCCTCACGTATCAGTCCACGCAAATCTAAAAGTCCCCATTTTTGTAGACGTGAATTTGTTCATGTATCATGGGATGATTGTATCCCAAGTCCCTGATTATCCAAAGCGAGAAGCGAATAGTAGACGATCTGGATCACAGGAAGAGGAGGTGATACTACTTTTTAAAGACGGTCCGACTGCCAAGTTTTGAATATGGCTATACAGTGCGTCCCAGAAAAAACAAAACCGAGAACTACCGATGTTTTATCATAACTTAATCACAATTATAATTAATAAATGACACATATTTGAAAGCTTAGATCCTCTTCTTTCGTGTGATGCATTTCATATGATGCATATTTCACGCATGAGTGATTAAAAGCATTTTGAAGAGAGGAAACCAAAAAGTGATTTGGCGGGCGGTATCTGAATTTAAAGGGAAAATCGCATTTCTAGAAAGTTCAATTCCTGCCCTTTCATATGACACCTCAATCAGGAAAAATGAGCCAGGAATAACAAAGTTCTGTTTATTTAAAGTAATGCTTGCATTTCCATGATATGACCAAACGGGTTCGTTTTTACTGGCTGCCTGCCGTTGCAACAAACAGAGTTGACAAAAGACTTAACTCCGTTTCGTTGACGATCAGCCATGCACAAAGAAGACGAAAGACCTGATGCATGGCTGATCTTCAACGAAACGGAGTTAAGTCTTTTGTCAACTCTGTTTGTTGCAACGGCAGGCAGCAAACTCATTTGATCAAATTATAGGAAATGCAAGCATTTTTTTAAACAAGCAGAACTTTGTTATTCCTGGCTCATTTTTCAAAATCATTGCAATTTCCCCCGGTCCCCAACAGAAAAAAAAATCCTCTGTAAGGCCATGCATTGTGGTTCAAGGCATGGCCACACAAGGGAATTTTTCCTGTAGAGGACTTGGGGGAAATGCAACCAATTATTTATTTATCAATTTCTGGAACAAAAATCGTTTGATCATACAAACACTTCATTTTGCATTACTCTTTCTCAAACTAAGGTAATTAAACAAAATGCCAATGAAAAGGCAGCTACACCTTTGAATAAGTGGTGCTAGAAATGATAAGCATTTGATGCTATTTTCTGGTCCCATTTACCCTTTCTAATTTGATTCTTATGTAAAAAGTACTTTTTGTTTGGATGATAATGATAATACTAATAATAATATATCTTGTTTACCCAGGGTAGCCTCATCAGTATTCACACTGTTCTTCCTGAGGGCACTGCGATCATATTGATTACCCCAGTCATCGGATTCAGGCTTACGCGCACACAGTGTATGCACATTCTCCACTCCCTGGGGAGCATTCCAGCCAGGCGTCATTTAAACTTTAAACTTCAAAATTCATCCTTTATTTCCTTATTTAGGTGATAAAATCGTAATAACAAATTATATTTATATGTATGTCTAATGTTTACAGCCAGAACATGATAAGTAATGTCACATTATAGATTTGTTCATTTACTATTTTATTTCAACATGTTTATGGAGAATAATAACATGATCAGGAAAGCTGTTTTCCATCATGGTCCTGATTAGCGACATACTAAAGTATAAATTAAAAACATTTAAAATAGAGCAAAACAATACAACTATTCTTAAATGAAGATTACAAAGCAATCCAAAAAAAATCCAATATTTTATTTAAAACATAATTACAGTGAGATACACAGAAAAACATACAAATCATACAGGTAGTATAACAACAATTGCATCTATATACTCAGGAAATATATCATAACAATATTACTTGTTAGAATAAATGGGAATGTGCTCTACTGTCTGTACCATTAATGACACTTTTATTAGTACCGGAAACTGGTAACATTTCCTGCCTGTCACTTTTACAATAACAAATCTTAGGTTTCATGTCTTCCTCTTCCTGTATGTGTAACTGTGTAGTGTGTACAGTACAGTATTGGGTATATAGTGGGCAGCACACAGACACCGCCATAATGATAGTATAAATTATTATGGATAGATAAAGTTCGGATATTCTGAAACCTGTATTGATCAATCTAGGTAGTCGTAGAGACTGGTCAATATAGTCCTAAGAAGATATAAACTTGATTAATCAAAACTATCATTACAACTATATTTTCATGAAAATAGGATTGAAGTAAATTTATTACAGCATTGTGGGCAACAATGTATGTTTGATTCAATGTAGAAATGGACGGAACATTCAAATCTATGCAAGAAGAAGAATATCATATTTGTCGATTATCTTCCGATTTATTTTTGTCTAACATGTAAACCTAAATATCTCTAATAAATAATAGATTGCCACAGGGGCAAGCATATTCAGTCCTTATTGCACCTTAAATATCAGGAAAAGATTGTTCCGCTTTACAAATCTAAAAGTCATTATCAAAGATTTAGCGACATCGCTACCACTGATGTAATATATTTTCAATTGCGCCATCTTTCGGGGAAGGTGTACATAGAGCAATATCCGGTTCCTATACCAAACCATCATCACGTTCGCGTCATCGGTTAGTGATGCATTGTGGGACATGGCTTTCGACACATCAGGACATTTTGAGCAGTAGATAGCAGTGGACCTAAATCTGAAATAGTGCCAGTAGTATAACCTGCCTTTAAAGACCGTCAACAATACTGAGCCAGAAGGGATAAGACCACACAGCGAGGTCACTGACAGGTGGCTATCTCATTAACTCAGCTCTCAACTAGCATAAGAAAAAGAGGATCATGCGGGACCAACAGGCATCGATTGGGGAAGTTTTCTATATAGAGGGAGCAAGTAGCTACAATTAGGACAGAGGGGCTTTAAAGTCTTTCAGAATGCATCAAAGAAGCAAGCATGTCGAAGATTTTCTGTTCATTTTCCCAGACGGAGGCCTCGATGAGTTGCTATCTTCGGACTGATCATCGTGTTGAAGTGGTGTCGGCTGTTCACCAAGAGATGTAGCATCGTTACCCGTGAGGGTCGTCTCTTTTCCTGAAATGTCATACACAATGCAAGGGTTTAGACAGCTTCGAAACCACTTTAGTCTAGAGAATTATAGCAAGTTGATAAACTACCCCTCTCTCTCTCTCTCTATGCCTCTATATAAAATAAAGTGATAATAACGACTAGTATACGAACCTACGTAGTACCCGCCAAAAAGAATCTAACGTTGTTTCCAGGCGCGGGTTTTTTCTTTAATTCATGGAATATCGGACAAAGGTATGACGTTTGATTGTGTAACTATTAGCCGTGACCAAATATTGTTTTTGTTTTTGTTTTTGTTTCTTTTAACGTTGGTTACGTTTTATGAACAGAGTCTTAAGATTTCACTGAAAGCAGTCGCAATGATAACATGCTTAATGCTTACCTTCTGCTTTTGGCGTAGTTGTTTGCAGATTCTCATCGACCTTTCTCTCCTCATTAGCAGGCATAACCTCAATCATCGGCTGCGCAAGCTCATTCATCTTCTCGATGAGTTCATCGAACTTTTCATCCTCGAACCTGGCCTGGCTCGTCTCCTTGGTAAAATCGATGTAAAGAAGCTGGGTAAAGGTCATGCTCATTGGTCCTTCTGGTGGCCATGTCATCTCTTCAAGCAGCAGAGGAATGATGGGTTTGCGGAGCGCGTCCGAGAGACTCACTTCTCGTCTGCAGTTAGCGGAGAGGGCGTACTTTGGGGTCACGCAAGAAATGACGACCTGTTAGACAGAAAAAAATAGATTTCTTTCTCTTTAAAAAGTTTCAAATGATGTGTGCATATAAGCTCTCACAATGATTTTTCTCATTCTTTTATTCTAATATCAAATAAGATGGAAGAATCTTCATGAAACAACCTGAACTCACTTTTGAAGTGGGGGTATAATGTGTCCAGAAAATTAATCCAGTTATGTAGGTCCTCAAACAATTGCGTTGTCGCCAATATGGGGATGGGCATGGGGTTGCAAATTGGTTTGAGTATAGTTTTATGTTTAAAGTTAAGTTTAGTTAATTGTATGTTTGGACCAGAGTTAAAGTTATGCATTCAGTTAGTGTAGGAATTCGAGAGCGGTCAAATGTCGCTGGACCATGTGCTGTAGTGACCAATGGCACACAGTTATTTTCCACCCACTGAGTGTATTCACGTTGTTTTGAAAGTTTGAAACCATTCATGAAATTGTCAATTATTGTACCTGTGAGTTGTTTGGAGCAGATAGTTATTTCAAGTTTAATTCAAGATTTCTCAAAGGATTACCTTGGAAGCAGTCGATCAGGAGTTTAGAAGAATCTATGTTACCCATTCTTCCCCTAAGAGGGGAAGTTCATTCGTTATGAGAAAGTTACCACCTATGGCCTCTTTTTCACTGCCAATGATGTTTGATACTAATATTATAGGCCTATATACCTTGGCATTTCTCACTCCCTTATCGATCTTGGAGTAGAGTGGATCCCCACCACCCATCTGATTGATGTCCAACCAGCAGTGGTATCCTAGACCAGTGAGACGTGAGAACAGTCTCTTGATCTCAGTCTGCTTGTCCCATTGGTACGAAATGAATACTGACGGGGGTTCCGAAGTCTCCTGAATTGACAGGGAAAAGATCACAGATATACAAATTGGGTTCGAAAAAAAATACAATTAAAACTAATTTAGTAAGACATAGATACTTCGGGAAATGAAAAATAACTTTAGAATCAAAGTAAAGGATATAATAATAATCGATACAAAGCATTAAAAACTGACATGAACAAAAGAAGGCGAAGAAAGATCCGAATCATTATCTCCATATGAAATTGAGAGCTTAAAAAATACATTTTCGAGGCATTTGGTTTGTTAACTGATGGATATCATACATAAACCAGGCAGAATCTCGTAAACCACGGAAATTATTTACAAGAAGAATCATAATAAACCGAATACACGTCATGTTGGCTGGGGACAGTTGGCCGAGGACAGTATCCATCTAGGATGAGGATAGACACTGATAATACCACCCTCTACCAGAATGACGAATAAGGAGAAAGGGTCATGAGAGAAAGGAAATAAAATTAGGCTACAAAGAAAGTCCGATGGCCGATCCTCTTCCACACCTATTTCCACCCACCTCTGCTCCGCTCGACGACCCTGTCTCTTGCCTATCATCCACAAGACTGCTAATCCCATAACATCGATAACCCTCTTTCATTGCCATGGCTCGACCCTACCCTACTCCAATGGTCCCTTGGATAGAAGACTTAGCTAGGTACCAGGTGTATTCTTCATTCCTTGTTGCATTCTCAAAAGGCTTTCTCGTGAAATAAACTAGCGAAATAGTGGCTTACTTCGAATCATCGGGTCACCACGTCCGGTCGGATGGTCGCGTTAACCGACCTTTTGTGAAAACATACCCCCTCATTCACGAAATGTCGGGGTATTGTTCCTGAAATGACTCCCTCTCACCTAACATATGGTTTGTTCCAATTTACCAGACACTTTATGAACACCCTACGGCAAATCTACGAATGGCCGTGTAACGCGACCACCCGACCCAACCCGAAGACCGGACGCGATGAGCCGATGATTCGAAGTAGCCCGGAATGATGGCCCTTACCGTGGCATGGCTCTGTTGCTGCACTGGCGAGTTCTCTGCATCTCCTGATACCTTCTTCACGGTGACTGGATCGTCCTCTACCTGCGGGATCCAATCTCGGTACTCTACAGGATATGGGAAAAGGGGAGGGGGAACATCACAGTTAAACCACCAGACCGACTCCACGCAGACTTCATATAGACCGATCTATTTAGCGATGGCAGCATTTTATTGAATTGAATATTAATTGAATTTATTTTCTCCTGCAACATAATTATAGATCAAATTACATTTAAGTGATACAACATATTCAAATTATGACAAAAAGTTGAATGTGTATACAGAATAATATTAGTAACTTTTGGCATTACAACAAAATGTAGCTGATAACACACTACCAACCACTGTTGGTCAAATAGCTTGTGAGTGTCAAGTAACGCCCGGCTGGAATGCTCCCCAGGGAGTGGAGATTGTGCACACAGCGTGTGCGGGCAAGCACTGAATCCAATGACCGGGGTATATTTGTAAAGCGCTTAGAGACATTTGTATTAAGCGCTATATAAAAATTAAATATTATTATTATAATTCATTAAGAAATCTGTAGAAGAATGTGTTGTCGGTATCCCTCGTGTGAGTGAATTACATAAAGGGAGTAATCTAAAGAGGAGTCGGAACTCCTGGGGTTGTTCACTCAATGTCCAAATGTGTAACCTCGACTGCTTCAGCTTGCATGCTTATCTGCCAAAGGTATAGTCCTCTTACAAACCGATTTCGTTGCGGGCATTAATATCATCCTCTTCTTGTTTGGGGTTAAGAAAAAAACATCTGGGGGTAAGATGCCACACCTCAAAAGACACGATCCTCGACATCTGCAAATTATGGGTCCTTTGTCATGCAGAAGCTAACACAAACGGAATAAAGGTTTCATATGTGTATTTTTTACTTAGCCTTTCCATCGGAATTGCTATAGGAAATTTTGAATGAACGATGATATGTTCTCATACCATCAGACACCATGCTCTCATCAGGGGTAGCGTGGTAGGATATCTGACCCAAGAGTTCCGAGAACTTGGCATCCTCCCAGAACTTTTCTCCTCTCACGTATTCTTTCTCGTTAAAGAACTGGATGTAGAGCAGCTGTGCAAAGAGCATGCTCATGGCGCCCTCTGGAGGCCACTTGGTTTGGTCGATGAGGACGGGAATGATTGGTTTGTTCAGTAGATTGGCGAGATTCACCTTAAGAACGAGAAACAAATTGATGACAAAAGGAAAAATTTGAATACAGAAAACTCTTATACGACTATTGCTTTGGGGACAATTGTTCTGCGGTCTGAAACCTCCTGAAGAGCAAATGTCGTCGGGTAAAAGTATTATATCGGCTGGAAGAAATTGGTCGTCATTCACACGAATTACACACAATTTGGATAAATGATATGCGCCTACGCTAGTTCAAAATATCAAATATATTTTGCAAGACACATAGAATTCGAATATGAGAGTTAATATGCGTTTAAGAATATATCATTTAATCAAAACTCAAGTGTTCCATGGACGTTGTCATTATCTGTTATTTGCGCAGGCAATGATAACGCAAACTTATCTCCATTATCATGTTTTAGCTTACTTCTTTGTTACAGTTCTCGGAGTTTGAGTATTTCTCAGTCACCATACAGAGCACCATCTTGGATGACCTCATACCCTGGCTGATCTTAGCAAACAACTGATCTCCGCCACCCATCTGCCCAATGTCCATCCAGCAAGGAAACCCTGCCATCTCGAGATGCTTCTTGATGGCCTTCACTTCGGGCTGGTGGTCCCACTGGTAGCTCAAGAAGACGGTCGGGGGCTTCCCAGATTCGTCCGAGGGTGCTTTTGGCACAAGCAGTTCTGTTAAAGACACATAAGCATGGATAAACCAAATAAACCGAATTTATCAATCCCTACGAGTGACCTTTGCGACCAATAGGAATAATGTCCTGCTCTACTCACTCAATCGCCCTATAAGGAAAGCCCATTATCTTACATTTCAGTCATCCGAAGACTCTCAGAGAGACTGGTATTAAAGGGGGGGGGTATACAGTTTATTGTTATAAGTTTTATTGTAATTATTATCAAAACCATTATTGTCATTGTTATCAACATTATTGCTATTTTTTATAAATGTAATGCTTCTTGGGGGGGGATTTCAATAGTTTGAACATATTTGTGGCTTTTGCTATTGTTATTTTTATTGCTATTGTTTATCAGTATATCATAGAGAACAATGACGTATTTCCAAACCTGCTTCTTCTAAAGACTGCGTGATGATTTCCGCTGCATCGGTTCTTCCCATGTCTTCCAGCGCGCTGAGTATGGCATAGGTGGCGTCGCTGCTCTTGTGAGTGGTGTACCACTCGGCCAGGATGGCCATGGTAGGGTCAGGTGACAGGGCCCAGTTGCGGATGTCCTTACCCGAGTAGCCGAGCCGTACGGCCAGGAACCGCCAGTCATGTTCATGCTCGGGGTTTAACAGCTTCGAGACGTCACGTGACCATTTCGGTGCGTTGGTAATAGTCTGCGAGGGAAAAATAATTGTTAAGCCATGACACAAATGCTTTCTAAAATGCAATAAAAATCCAGCGCAGTCGACCTATGCAAAAAAAAAATTGTCGTAATTTTACGTAGTAATATTAGTAGTAGCGAGTTTTCGCAGCCGGCGACGCGGCCTTCTACAAATTAAATTTTTTTTGCCACGCATATTTTTTTTTCCGGCGGTCAACCGCGCCAGATGTGCACTAGCCTTTAATGATTACAATGTCTGTTTTCCACCTGAGTGCACGGAATACAATTATCGTTAATTTAACCATAATATACGATTTTACAAATCCCAGAGTTAAGTGTTCAAACGTCCTTTGGCAAGACATTAATCCACATTCGCCACTCTCTACCCAGGTGTAAATGGTTCACTAGCAATTGCTGACGTAATAATAAATGCGAAACCCTCAGGAAGGAGAGTATTGATGCTGATGAGGCTTCCCTGATTAAACGAAATTTATTTAATTATCATGTAACTTTATTAAACGTTTATCACCTTATGGTCGATCTCCTCGACTTTCTCCACTGTCTCGTCCACGACTTCTTTCAGCTCATCAAGTCTTTCGCCCTGGTCGTTGACTTCGCTCTTTACATTTTGGATATCCTCGCTCTGCTGGGCCACGGTCTCGTCAATTCTCGAAACGTCATTTTCTGTCGTCGTCACCCGATTGTCTAAGTCGTCAATGTCTTCTCTCTGCTCGGCCACATCTTCAGTTAGCCCCAGAAGGCTATGAATACCATAAAAAACATTTTGCAAAAACATAGACAATATTTCCATAAATAGTTGAGGTATCATTTATTGTTTATGAAATTACAGGACGGGGGGTGCAAATTAAGCTTTAATCTGTAGTTCAATATACTGGAAATATATTGAATATTTCAAGACAGATTTTATTCTTACTTCTGAAAGTTTTTTTGGGGTAAAGAACAGTTTTTCTCTGTCTTGGTTAAGCGGTTCACACATGCAAGGCAGTAATACAGTCAGGAATAGCAATATTACGTGTCAAACGTACGCGTAAGGTTTTTTTGCATCTAATATACAAAGCCTTCACTTCACATGGCCAGAACCGAGTATAATGACGGCGTCTTTCGACATGATTTGTACGATTTACCTTCTGCCTTCCAGGAAATCAATCAGGGCCAGGACAAGATCGGGCACCCCAATCTGTTGGCACTTCTTAAGCTTCACAATGTTGGGCTTGTAAACGGCCAGGCATTCCTTGTGGGCCTGACCTATCCTTTTGACCTCCATGAGGACTACACCGGTCCACATGGGATCGATGCTCTTCAGCTTGGTGAACAAGATCTTCAAACATCTGCCAGCCTCTTTCTGGAGAAATGGAGAAAATGTCAGCTAAATTTACTTATTGGTGTCTACAAGTACGGCTTTCTATTGTGCGATTTACGTTATCTTATTGTCCACGGATTCGGTATATTCTGCTCTCTCTCTCTCTCTCTCTCTCCCTCTTTCTCTCCCTCTCTCTTTCTATCTCCCTCTCTCTCTCTCTCTCTCTATCTATCTCTCTCTCTTACTTGTTTTCTCAGTCACTGCTTCCCTCACTGTATATCTCTCATTATTTCTCCATGGCCCTCTCACCCCTGTTGTCTTTCATGCTCTCGTTCTCTCTACATCTTTTCTCTCAGTCTCTTTCTATGCATCTTTCTTGAAATTCATCCTTTCTATACCTCTCGATTCTATCAGGATTCAGTCATGCCCTTTGCCTCTATGGCAAAATAATCCCCTAAAGTTTTATGAAATACATCTATCGTTCGTTAAAGACGCATATTAGCGGGCTATCATGGAGAATTCGTCACCATTTGGGTTACCTAATAGTAATTTTTGCCAAACACCATTATTATAGCCTTTAGTTTAAATGACCAACATCAGGCCTGATGAAATGCTCTGCCTTCCCACCAATTTATCGCCCCATACGGAAAAGTTATTATCTTACGTTTCCCTCTCGGGTTCCCTCTCCCAAAGATTCTCTGAGAGACTATTGGGTCTTGATGGGACCACGGGTTTGACATGTGCGAGCCTTGTACACCCATTACTAATGTCCACTATGGCTGGTGTCAGTGACCTGTGACCTACGGCACATAGAAACTGACTACCATCTCCCTTTAAAGCCCTTCTGCACTGGTTTAGCCAGGGGATTAGACCTCCCTGCAAGGTAACTAACGGGTGGTTATCTCATCAAATCAGCTCTCTATTAACATAAGGAAAAGAGGATCATGGGGGACCAATGGTCACTGATTAGGCATTGTTTGATATATAGAGGGCGCAAGTAGCTATAAGTAGTGCGGTGGGGATTTAAAGATGTTATCATGTTGTTCAGGTCAGGTAGGTTGTTGTGCATGAGTTTGATATGAGGCTTAGTAGGTCCATGATATGACGTAGGCCTACCTTGTTGAGGCATCCGACACTGGAGATGGCCTTGGAAGCAGAAGCAGCTCCATTCGGGTTCTGTTCCCATGCTTTAACACACCTGTCTACGTGCTTGACGAACTTCTCGGCATGTTTGAGGGAGATGTTAGCCAGGGTCATGAGACAGAAATGCATCAGGGATGGGTGGCAGACGTCCTCAAACATTAGATCGATGTGAGGTACCAAGACCTATTATAAGCGACAAAATACAAGACTTGAAAACGTTTCCTTTGATTGCGTTTCTAATCTTTCATGTTCCCTTGCTATCCAATGATTGTGAAATGGAAATGCATTTTGTTCAGAATATTCTATTTCGTTTATTTATGCTTTGCCTTTTCCAATTTTTTAAATACAACTCTGAACTTTGATTGGTTCAGCTTAATGCAAACTGTCATTCCATTTAATCAAATCATAGGCCGAGATTTTCCCGCGTGTATTAGGTATTCTGTAATGTCATGTTTTAATGCTTCAAAAGTTGTTTACTTATGCTAGGGATCCCCTTCCTCTCTGCCCTCATGGTCATGCTCTCTCTGGTAGAGTGTTTCAATTAGAAATACAGGAACCTAAAGTTCTACCGAAGGAATGTATTCGAACGCTTATTTGAACCTTTTTACGGTTAATGATCAAGATCGTAACTTCATATTAAGTTGAAGTTTTCCATTGAACAGATATAAGATATCATCTGGACACATACCTTTGAATTCTGTTGGCTGACGTCATAGAGAAGCATATAAAGGTACATTTTGTCATCTGTTCCCATATCTTCCAGCAGTACAACGATACGGTCTATTCGTGAGAGAACAACTTCCGGGTTAACCCGAAATAAGCTGTTCAGGGCCACTGCAACGAAAAGCGAAATGTCTTGCTATCATTGAAACCCGTTAACTATTAAATTCATCCATTGCCATAGGGTCAATACCGGGGATATTCGGTTCCAGTAGGCAATGTGGTACATGTAACAGCTTGAATATTCTACTTTCGTTATTACAATATATTTTCTCATCTTACTTTGTATGATAATTTATCGTTATTTTGATAGAATTTGATTTTGAATTTATTTATTTTACTTGCTCGAATGTATATAGAAATCATACGACTAATATATCAAAGGCGGGTATTACATCGGGAAACAATATTATAAATATTGCAATAGTTTATACATTATTGAAAATTAACTAATTGGACGGTTTGAACATTATTGAAGGTAAGTATAATTATATATGTATTATGTGAAAGTGAGGGGCTTATTGATAAGCAAGGCTTGTAATGGTAAACCTCTCTTTAAACTTAAATATGTCTTAATATAAGTTGGTTAAAGTAATTATGTATAATCATCGATAAAATATGAAGACGTGTGAGCTTTTTAAGTATTCGAGCTGTGAACTAAATGTTTCATTAAAGGGAAATCCACTCCAACTTTAATAGGCAACTACTCTAAAAGAACTCATAAAGATCAGAAAAGTAAGGTGGTGAAAGTTTGAATGAAATTTGACCAAAAAAATAAGATAGGAACTTTTGAGATTTATAATCACTATGGCCCGAATTCACAAAGGAGGTTTGACGACAAACCTCCTTTTGTTTCGACAAACCTCCTTTTGTTTTTTACAAACCAAGGTTTGTAAAAACGCGTCGAAACGCGTCGTATGACGCACATAAACCTCGGTTTGTCGACAAACCTCCTTTGTGAATTCGGGCCAATACGTATGGCACTTCAAATTTGCTGAATCGGTAGTGTCTCTGTGACGTCACGTTGGACTAGATTCGCATTTCTTTCTAAAGACAGAATGAATAAAACGTCAAATTTTCAAAATGACACAGGGTGGTATTTTATATTAATTTATATTAATAATGTGTTATCCATTACACATTCTGTGTAGTGCCTCAAGATAGAAGCAACTTGGAAGGAAAACGGAAATTGAATTTATTTTTGTGCACAATAAACGGGAGAATCATCTTTGACGACATCACAATCCATTGAACAAATTGCAAATTCGGGATTCAAATATTTTATAGTGATCTCATATTTCAAACATTCATAACTATAGCCATACAATTCTGATAATGCCTCAGTCACACCTTTGTGTTTTTGGCTTGCGTATTGCTGCGTATTTATGGCAAGCCGTTTCAACATTTATTCCTATTTCCGAAATGAATTTTTGATATCAAGAAATCGAATTCTTAATATAAAGAATTACCATTGCTTCTTTACAACAGAAAATAATTTCTTGATATCAAGAAATAGGAATAAATGTTAAAACGGCTTGCCATAAATACGCAGCAATACGCAAGCCAAATGCGCAAGGTGTGAGTGAGGCATATTAAGGAAACACGTTATGACCAAACGGGTGTTACTCACGACCAGCTGATGTGCCTTTGCACTTGTCATCAAGATAGGCGTCGGCTATGGCATCTCCATATGGAGCCAGGAGCTCCCCGTTGTCATAGATTTCTGGTAACCCAATGGCTTCTGCAGCCACTTCCTCCAAGTCCTTGACGTCACAACTGAGAAGCTTCACGACGTATGGGAAGAGATCCCGGTACAGCTTGACATTGTCCTTTTTCTACAGAGATATGGAATATATAATAATAATAATAATAATAATTATAATAATAATAATAATAACTAGAATTTAAATCGTCACGAGGACGATTAAGGTGGTCTGTCTTCAAGTCTTATGATAGATTATAATATTTACTTTATTGAGAAAGGGAGAAGTTATATAGACATGTAAACAATGATGATCATCATGATGATGATGATGATGATCTTGATAGTAATGGTGATGACGATGATGATGATGATGATGATCATGATGATGTTGATGATTATCATCAACAGACCATGATGACATCAGACTGACAAAAATGAGAGAACATTTAGATAGTATATAGTCACAGCTACAACATACTCAAAAATCAACAAAAATCAAGCCGAAATAACGGCGATATTGCTCGCAAAAGACAAGATTTTGTAGAATCCAGATTTGAGAAAAAGTCATCTCACATAAGGATTGCACGCAAAAAGTAATGGATCAAGTGATAATAGGGTAATAATAAAGTAAATATGGTTGTTTATTACATTATTTACGATTGTACGTGTTTTAATATTGAAAGGAGATGGTACAGTGAAAGGTCAAAAAGAAAAAAAAAGTGAAGAAAACAAATTGTTGGAGACGCCCGGACTCGAACCAGGGACCTCGAGGTCGGAAGTCAAGTGCGTTACGGATATACCAAAACATTTCCCATAGAGATTACACGTAAACGGGAAATGGAATTCTCAAATCCCACTTTGGAAGTGAAATATGAGCATGATCCCGGCATCTGAATGAAAAATAAAGGGCACACTTATGATAGCTTATTGTTTCAGCTACAACATACTCAAAGCTCAGCGTAAATAAAGATAAAACGACGGAGATATTGCTCGCGAAAGACGAGAATGTAGAATCCAGTTTTGAGAAAAAGTCATGTCCCATAGAGAATACACGCAAAATGTGAAAAATTGACATGCCACCTTTAATCGCAAAAATACGCCATGATACCTTTGTCAAAATGAAATATTGTGTTCACTGCATTTGTAGAAAATTGTCTAAGCTAGATCATATCAAAATTTGGAAGAAAATTGATCATTGTTTACAGAGATACAGTCAATTTTCCAGAAATATGCTGACGTCATAATATGCAAATTGAAATTTTGAGTTTGGAGGCCATTATGATGACGTCATGAGTTAATTGAGGGTCAAATGAGACATGAAATCATACCTCCAACTCATAATCTATTTAAATATGAAAGAAATTGGGGGTTATCTATCAATTCTGAAGAGTTAAAATGAATTTTGTATAGGCATGTTTTTGCCCATGTATTGTGGATACAGAGAGCGCAGGTCGGCGCGTGCGTTCAACTTTGACAGCCGCTAATTGCAGTATTACTGGTCGGAAAAAGGTAAACAAGGTATCAAAATGCTTGGAAAAATGTAATAAATATGATAACAGAAAAAATTTGGCGATTCTATGTTGCAAAACGCCAGAACGCGCGGATACGCGCGGAAACGCGCGCGCATAATTACGCGCGCGCAAATTTTGAAAATGCTTAAAATGGCCTAAAACGTATGCAAAATTAATTTAGAACGAATTTGACCATTTTAAAATTTTAATGCGCGCGTACGTGTGCGTCGAGGTGCGCGCGCAGAATTTTTTGACATTTTTCGTTGACCTTCAACCTGAAGTTGATGTATACCAAATATGGTTGATTTTTGATGACTTGTTATCGAGATATGATAATGACCTGATTTTTACAAAATGGCGCCTGGATGACGTCACGATGACCCCATGAACTTGAAAAAGTTAATTAGACTTGAAATCATAGGGCTTGATGACTGACAGAAATTCAAAGGAAATTGACCATGTCGATTTCGAGTAAACGTGTGGACAAAAAAGTGTACGGAAGAAATAAAAATAAAGAATAAAGAAAGAAAATTCTAGCGAAATCAATAGGTGATCTGTCGTTGACAGACCACCTAATAATATTGGATATTTATATAGATCACATATCCACCCTGCAAGGTGGTTAAAGCGCTCCAATATTACCCCTGCTCTGCTAGGCTCCCGATAATGATAATAATTAGATACGTTTATACAGCGCAGCTATTCAAATATATTCTACTGCGCTGGGTAAAAACAAAAATACTAAAGGTGGACACACAAACACAAAATACTTTAACAATTATTCAAAAGCTCATAAAAACAAATGCGTCGTCAACAAAACTCTGAACACAGCAACAGATGAGGCTTTTCTTATGTCTAGCGGTAGGTTATTCCAAAGCTCTTGAGCGGCGCAACTAAAAGTACAAAATAGGGATCTTAAACAATATTTTTATTCTCAGAACTTAGTTTTACGGGTGTAGCATATCCTGGTACCGAACTCTTCAAACAATACAAACAATCTTATACAAAATAATGAACTAGTTTCATATGAATTTATGGATAAAGGTAGTATGTACAAATAGTTATGGAACGGATCTGGCCACTGAAAATCATTGCATTTATACATAATTTGGATAATTATTACTCATATTGTTTTGTTTTTCTTCTCAATAAGTCAAGATTAGCTTCAAAGAACTTACCTTATCGATGAATCCTGAAATGATTTTACGAAGAATATTCCCATGGACTGAGAGTTTATTACGCAGCCCGTCTCCCTCCAGTTCTTGTTCCAGACAATATTCCATGAGATTCTTCAAGGGAGCCACGCTTGATTTTCTGAGATGAAAGATATTACTTATTTATTGAAAAGTATTATACAAAGTGCACCGTTGCCCCTAAAGCTGGAATAAATTTTGTTTATCACTTTTTTATGAAATGAATTTGACAATAATATTTCCTCTTGATGAATGTTATCTTCTCATAACTGTATTGATCCATATTTTTCTTTGCCCCTTCAGATTGATCAATTAAGTTATTAGAAGATAAGAACGTTATCTATTAGCAATATATTGCATTGTCATAATCATTTCGAAAAGAGAGGTAAAATCAATTTATTCCGGTGTAATTATCAGATAAGAAATCGGAAAGTTATGTAATGAGAAATTGTAATATATGTACGCCACTTAAATGCTAATTCTCCACTACGTTCCTTCTCTCTTCAGTTTCTCTCTTTCTCTCTTTCTACCTCTCTCTACCTCTGGCAGTCATGTTGAAAGCCGTTTTAGGAGGACACTGGATATCCTTCGTTAACGAGACATGTTCCACATTAGTGAATACCCGTGACGATTGATCCACTACGCCTGTATAACCTCTGACCTATCCGATGTGACTTAAAATGGGAGTGTTAGAGATTTAAACGATCACACTTAAAATATACCCAAGATGTTGAAACCTTAATTTGCTTTCAAAGAAGTTATTTATATATATATTTTAAATAATGAAGAAAGGAGCTTTCAACGATTTTCTTTTCAATTATTTTATCAGTATATGTATATAAAAATTATGCTCATTTCGGGCACCAACTGAAATCGAATTGTGTTCAAGGATTTTATTTTTAAAAAGAATAAGAAGGATTGATGTTCTGTTTCGGGGTTACTTATTAATCCAGTTGGTTTTTAAGGGGGCGTCGGCTGGTTGTTACCAGCCCTCGAAATAATTAATTGCGGTTACCGTCCACGTAAAAGTCCACTGAAAGCAGAACTTACCCAGCATTCTCTAGCAGGTCCCAGTCTGGAATCTCATGTCCTAAGTACTTGTGATCGAGGTTTCCCTCGAAATCCGTGTCTTCCCGACGAAGCCATTTAAGAAAGGCTTCGAGTACGTCAGGGATCAGCTTTTCAGTACCCTGGTGGATTACAGATAAATTTGAGTACCGGTCATGAAACTGAATTGCATTTGGGAAATCTGTCTTTACATTATTGGTAAATGTTGATAGTTCAATAAAATAATTGTGTATTGCGAGGTTTCAGAATCATCCAAATAATGATAAATCCACCCAATAGTTTGTTACAACATCAAACCATCAAATTAAATCAAATCAAATCAAATCAAACGGCATAACAAGCTGCAGACTTTATTGTTTTACCTCCCATGTCATTTCGGTGGTTTCGACTATACCAAGCGCCACAACGATGTGCATGTCAGAAGCACTCTCCATACACGCCGTCAGGAGGTGCAGAAAAGATCCCGCAACTTTCTTCAGAATGTTGTCTCGACTACAATGTGAAGAACAATAATTTACAAAGAAATGACATTTAATCATCAAAAGTTTTGGACAATAATAACAATGTATTTTAGGATATTTCAATGCTCTTTGTTTATTTTGTCTTTTATTGTTTATTCTATTTTGATTGTATTTTTGTTGTAATTGTTTGTTTTATATGTTGTTTTATTTTGTTTCTTTTATTCATTACAGTTTGTGATAGTTTGTGTATTGTTTTAAATCCTATTGTTCCTAAAAAAAACATTTTAGACTTGTACTACCTTGAAATAGCAGGATTGGTTAGACAACCCCATATATATCGAAGGCATCTATATTTAGAGGCTGGCCGACTTGGTTCCAGTTCAGTGGTCACAACATGGTGAAGATTCTTTTGTTTCGTGCTTGCCCAACAATTAAAGCAGTAGTCTGACGACGCCCTCGGACCATAAACTGTACTGGCCGTTAATGTTTTCAAGTCATTCCTGGGGGTTTTTCACAAAGATTCTAAACCGAACTTAACTCTAAGTTGGACTTAAATATTATGGAGAGCCATTTGTAGCCTTGTAATGAAATATATTCAAAAGCAAAAATTCAAGTATTTTAGACTTTTCATAAATTCCACATCAAGAACATGAAAGCTCCTATGATAATAGAAAATATGAATGATTCGAATCAACATTTCATGCCTTTTAAAATAAATGTTACAATATATTTTCAAGGATGTGAACGGCTTTCCATAGTTGTTAAGTACAACTTAGAGATAAGTTCAACTTAGGATCTTTGTGAAACACCCCCAGGACAACAGAACTCACCTGAATGCTTCGATCATCTCCTCAATGGTTTTCTTGAGATGTTTACCCGACTCCCACCAGGACAGGTTCTTCTCTTCACCCTGTTCCATGTCTCTCTTCTCGCGGTCCGTGGGCACCCATTCGATTGGTTGCGCAAGATCTTGAAGAATCCTTTCGATGGCGCCCACGTGGCCCTAAAAGAAGAAGGAAAACGTTTTGTACACCTACGATAGAACTGAGAACACATGAGAATAGACCTACCCGTTTACAAGTTTTACGACTAACATTTGAACGGAATTTTCCCATGACATCTTAATAGGTTTGTCAGAGGTCTGGCCGACATAATTACGGCAAACAATGTGTACATAGTGGATGCCATCTATAAAGATGACATTATACATAGCAGTTAAATGACATGGTCCAGGGGCTCTGCAGAGAATTGGAATACAATCGTAAACAGTTTTATGGGCTGCAATCTGCCATTTCGATGTTTGTTTTTTAATATTATTATTTACGGTCGGAATAAAGCTGTATGAGAAATAACAACGAAATGTCAGTGTGGTGTTAGCCTTTCAAATGGATAGGCTAGATTGACTATGATTCGAGGCGGCGTCAGACCAGTCTTGGTATTTATATTTCTTCTCACAACTACACCAAAGCTTAAAAGGTAAGAGTTTGCTGGGAAACGCATGTACAGAACGCTTCACGTGTTGTTACAGTAGGGACACCCATCCATGGTGGAACATAGAGTCACTTTGATACAAAAAATATCACTTCTAATCACTAGTTTTTTATTCTTGATCTCATATGTCCAATGAGAAACAAGACACTTTGTTTTAATGATAACATTTTTCTAACTCGTGTATGTGTTATCGGTCGGCACTGCTCGTACGTAGCTACAAAACGCTTTAAAAAAGCTCATTATGGGTTCCAGAACTAGCACATGCAGGGAGAAACACGAAGTCAGCAAACCGTCAATTTCCTTCGACATCTACCTTTCACAAGAATCAATCATTTCTGAAGTAATGAAATTAATATTACCTTCCATTTGATAACCGTTTTCGCGTCAAATATATCCTTGGCCCTGGCAAGATGCAACTCAGTCTTCTTTTTCATGCATTCCACACATATTTCAGCCATTATCTGTTCATGCTTGTTCTTCCTGAAGGAAATGGGGAAAAAATATAACGAATAGTCTTGTGTCTTGATAGATTGGTTATCCAGACAAAAAATAACTAAGAAACAAAACAAACATCCCGCAAGTAGGTTCTCACGAATTTTTCATTTAGCATGACTGTTTTTTTTTTTTTTTTTGGGGGGGGGGGTATGATTCTACCTGGACAGCGTTTCACGAAACCGTCCGAAGTATGAATTCAGTGACATGTGCAGTAAAACCCTTGTTATGGAATAGACGCATTTCGATAAGTTGTCAGCGAACTTGATACTTGACGGTTTCCTAAAACGGTGTCCGGATGCCTATTTGATTCTCATCTACATGCCACAATTTTATTTTTGGTAATACTCACACTACTCCAAACTAGCAATATTTTCAAAGTCTGAATTTCATTTACTAGCTTTAGTTAGAAGTTTACGTATATGTCGTTTTTCCAACTTAATGAAGAGAAGAAAAAGTGAATTTAATATTGCTTGTGGAGGGGCAGAGGGGTGCGCACGTTGATATTGCACAAAAGTTGTTTAATAACTGTTGTAAATTCATTAGCAGATGCAGCATTCATCTGGGGGCGGGGCTGTCCCAAATATCTCTCCATCCCTCCATCCCCGCCCCCTCCAAATGTAAATAATCTCATAAATGAATTGCGTTCGTAAATCCCAATAATCAGTTCAGTCTTTCCTTCTAGGTACCTGTGAGGGAGCTTGACATAGTAAGTGGATAAAGGGAAGGGGGTGTGGAATGAAAAGTAAGACCAAGCTAAACATCCCGTACGTCACGAATTACATATACAATTATAGTATGTACTTGATGATCGTATTAAGTTAATAGCCATGCTAGACCTTTTATCTGACCAAATATGTAATGGAAAACACATTTTACGTCAATATCTTCAGAACTGCATTAAATTAATAAAGCAAATTACTTAAAAACTTGGACCTGCCCGGTATCATCTTCATAACACTTCTTTATGTTGTATACCCCTTTATCACTCTTTTCCATTTTCATAGTGATGGGTCCGGGACACGTGCTCCAACCGCCGTAGGACCATTTGGACAATCCACTTTTTAAGGTACGACTAAATTGCTCTACTTACGCTGCCTTGACTGCATCCATCACCTCATCCCGAATTACATAATTTAACTCCTTGATGAAATCCCCTGTGTCATCCTTCTTGATTTCCTCTAAGATTCGAGGTAGATGCTCGTTCAGCTTCGAGGGGTTCTTCTCAATGTACTCCTTCAACTCGTCGAATTTCTCGGCCATTTTATTTACGATATTATTGAGTATTAATGGTCACTATGATAGGAAAAAAGAGAAGAAACGTACTCAAAAATATCATGAAGGCTTGATCATATATATTATCTAGGACCAAAGAGGTCTTGAAATCGTCACAATTATTACAAACTGCATTGCTGATCTTCGACTTGTCTAGTTTCTCTGTCAGAACTAAGGCCTATGTATATACATATATATATATATATATATATTCTGGAGGAGTGAATAGGTAATATTCTCATTGTGAGAAAAAGTCTTGCCTGATGAAAGATTCTTAGATAAAATGCTCCTGGACCTAACCCATACACTTTCACTAATCGTTATCTTTACCTCTAACTGTAACATAAAACCTGATAGTAGACCTAAGACTATTCCTCAGATACAAACTCAGTTGTTAACCGAACTCTAACGCTATATCTTTAGTAATCAGAATGTTTTTGTTTTTTTTGCAATTGTCCTCAAATAAAGAGGACAAAACGAATGGCATTGGTTTGTTTTTCCACCAGACAACGAGGACACTATGGGGCACTTTGACACTTAGGGCCTGTCATCCCCCTTATCTCGCACCGGAAAGAACCCCATCCCATGTACGCCTATGGTTTGCTGAATCAAATTGCCAATGACTTGCGATTAAGCGGGGTTTTTTCGCGGCCCTGGTAAATTTCTTGTAAGTAGGTATGGAATTTCATAACACAGTATAGGAAAGATTTAATTACCTTCAAAACTGTTTAAATACTTAATTAATGCTTGATAAAACTCTGAATACGCCACTGATGTTTATACATCATTATGCCAGGCCCACGCATTTAGCATATACAATGATGACTTCAATCAGCTAGTTGCTTCTTTTGAAAAAAAATGCTCTTGGTTTCATGACTTACCGTCCCAAAAATACAATTGAATTCAAGCGCAAGCGGAAATTCACACCCAAGCAAACAAAGAGGTTAATGGTCTTTCGTCGCTCATAAACAACTTACCAAATGACTCTGGCTACCAGTTTATCGGTACTTAATTTGTTCGGTAGAATTAAGTGGAGCCTTTTGATAGCAGATTATTTCGGCAAGGACATTACGAAAATCACTTTCGATCTCTCTTTCACAAGGTAGTTTATTATTCAGACTTAGGAGCTTTATTCATGAGGGATGGCATCAGTTATGCACTCTCAGAAATATATTTATCAAGTGAGGATGTTTTCCACATTGATTTTGATAATGTAACGATCTTGGAAGAAATAATGATTATATATAAACGAATGGAGAACAACTATGCAGTTACTTTCCAATTATTTCGGTTCTTCGAAATACTGACAAAGGAAACAAAGTTGGACAATATTTTACCTTGAGAAAGTGATTTGAATTATTATCATTTTTGCTGTGAATTAAACTACGGACATGGGTATTTTCATTCTATCTACAACTTTTCTGATATGCGTGACTTGGTCTACAATATTTTCTCCTGGGTCTGCTATATCCCTAAAGAAAGCTTTAAACACCGGGGATGACATAACCCTGGATTGTGTAACCGATTGGAATCCAAATATTACTCTATACTGGATTCAGAGAACGGTAGGATCATTAGGAGACAGGTACATAGCAACCGCTGGCCCCCAAAATGAGAACGGATTCATCTGGCAACGTTTCCGAGAAGACTCATGTTTTTCGTACAGCTATGAAAACGTTTCCTCGAGTGAGCTGAAAATTTCTCTTGCACTCTACATATCCAACATAGCTGAGGAAGATTCAGCTAACTACACCTGCGTTTCATATCAAAAGGGATCACTCGAACCAAAATTGTTGTATACGTATGATGTCCGCGCCATCGATTGCAATTGTTCTTTGGAATCAAATGTGGTATGTGATCTTTTCGGGTTACCATTGAGTGATTCTTTATCGGTATCTCTCAGAGTTGGTGGAAGAACTGTCACAGGGATGGTTAATAATAGCCGTTTAGAATTATCATCAAGGCTTTTAAATGAATCAATACATGGACACTCTATTGGACTATCATCACCGGAAGGCATCCTATCAAATATTTCCTGCACTCTTCCGATTGAGTCTAGCCTGTCATCCACGCAGACAATGACGACGTTCTTCCCCACCAAAACTCACCCATCATCAACGAACACATTGAAAATGTTCTTCCCAACTCAACCTGATCCGTTATCCACACAGAAGACGACCACGGTCTTCTCTACCCAGCCTGACCCATCACCAGATATCTCATCCGAAGATTCTACTTCTCTTTTGCCAAATACCACACCACCACCCTCCTGGCAGCCTTCAACCCCAACTGCTGTAGGTTCACAACTGGAAGACAGGACATCCGAGCCAAACACAACAACATCAGCAGCATTGATGTATACCACTCAGGTACAACACGGTATCACAAACTACGAAAGTCGGTCTAGCAGTACGATGACCATTGCGTTTTCCATAATTATAATATTTGCACTCTCCGTTCTTGTGACATTAGTCGTTCTGGTGGTGATTAGGCGGAGGAAGTTGAGATCGCATGCCGCTGAACTGGACGTAGGAGAATTGGAAGGCTGTCAACATACTCGTGGGGTAAGTATTCCATTCAAGGCATAATAATTCAATATTGCAATCATATCTTTACTTCTGTACTATGCGCTTATGGTATATACAAATATGAATACAATGACGGTGAATTATATTATAGTACATGATTTTCAGATGAAATAGAGGTGAGACATTAGATCTGCATCTTTGGACAAATGAATCAAGGTTGCATTTTTGTTGATGTCCATTCATTAACCAAAAATGGCGTATCCAAATAGAATTAATAGGCTTTAAGAAATGATGACAAATAGAAGAATAATGAAGTAATATGAGTGTTATCATCGAGAGAGTTATTTGTGCAAGAATGTAACAGATTCATAGGACAAACTCTCATCTCTATTTAAAGCTAATGACGGTAATAAAATTGATAAGGAAATGCATTATATATATATATATATATATAAAACAAGTGTCCCATCCTACCATGACAGTTGAACCTTAATATATGCCGGCCAATGGGATCATCGCTCAACATTATACCAAAACTATTTATGTTCCCTTTGAGAAAATTTTAATTAGAACGGAGTAAAAAATAAAATTTGCATTTTTTTGTATTTGTGTCTTTTTCAATAATATATATTTTTCATTCCCATTTTATATCTAAACGTCACGAAATCTCCACGTGCCAATGTCAGGGCACACTCAACATGACACGAAATCCCATGCATGCTGGGAAAGAAGACAGCGCCCTCCCGTATCCGAACAGGTTAGAGCACATCCCGCAGCACATCACTGACGCCTCAGCCAGTCCTGGTTACTATGAAGAAGTCGACGGCTATCTTCAAGGAGAAGACAACTCGTGTTCGACTGTTCCAAACGTTGAAAACGAGTATACGTACTTGTATATGGCTCCCTTGAAGAGAGACGTTGGCATGGGCGGTTACATGGATCTGATCGTTTCAGACGAGAATGCGTCCGGTAACTTGGCTCCAAACGTTTCAGACGACAATGCGTCCGGTAACTTGGCTCCAGGCGTTACGGGCGAGAACAGGGAGAACTATACGTTTATGGGTCCCATCGTAGGCGACGACGAGAGCAGTGCGGAAGGTTATGTAGTTTGCAACGTCACAAGAGGTGGGGGTGAGAAGTTTTACCCGGTGCCCGACGTCACGGGGCTCGGTGCTTCTCGAATCACTTCATCGAATATGAACGAAAATGATTACCTCGTTCCCTACGTACTACCTGCTACCCAATGTCGATACGACTTGCTCCTCCCTGTAGACCGGGATGCAAAGCCCCAAAAGTCGATTTCTTGTGACCACCGTTAGGCAACTACCTTATATTCTCAGATATTATGTATAAATATTATAAATGTCTTGTCTCAAACTCGACAAGCGTAACGATGGAACATTTTTTAGTAATTTGAAAAAAACCGAGAAAAATATTTTTTTTTTTAGCACGATCGTAAACCAACCAGCTTGCGCGTTTCACCTGCTTATGAAAGGATGAATCCTTTCTTGACCAATCGCATCCCTCGTTGCAATTCACCTTCACTGTACAAGATGGACGCGTACACGTCGTCATCAATGTCGTCGGAAGCTGATGATTCTGAGGGAAAAACGTCTTCTTACTGTTTCATGCACGCAATCGACACACATGGAAGAGTTATTCCCTTTTCAGAGAAAAGCTTCAACAAGTTTTTAGAGTGTTCCACCCTATGGAAAGAGTTAGAAAATCGTCCGGAAAGTGTCATCGCATCCAAAGCAGACGGTCTTCAATTTGACGATGTATGCACAACAACAAGGTGGGCTATTACTACGTAGTTTGTATGATCATGATGATGCCATGTTTAGTTTCATTGTAGACATCTATACTCTGAATCTAATCATGTTCGTACCAATATAGTATGATGTCTAGATGTGAAATATATTGTGCTTTACTGCAATTTAGGTGTCATAAATTGTATCTGAATTGCAATATTAAAATTATGAAAATCTAATGTCATGAGCAGGTGATGAATTTTGTACAAATGAGTCAAACTCAATGATTGATCATTGAAATGATTGATGAGTGAATGTTCACTTCCTACATGTACAGGCTACACAAAAAGTATGTCTAAGGTCTAGATCTATACTTTCATTACTGATATGGATATGTGCCGGCTGCGGGCTGTGCACATGTACTTGCAGAGTAGGCAGTAGTATGCCCATTATTTTCCTGAATGTTGATTTTATGAGACTTTATCAACTTTGTCTTTTGTCTGACTTGGAGGTTTTTTTCTCTTTTTCAATTTTGATTTAATTTTAAGTAGGCCTAACAATAACAGAGCCAACATTGAATGAAGCTTATGTTAAGCTAGATAATTTGAAGTTTTGATCGATTCTTATCTCGTACTTCAAAAGGTAAGGCAGTTGGTGTTCGAGACGATGAGGAGGGCATAACAATAACATCGCAGGAAAATATATTTCAGTAGAAAATTTGTATGGTATAAGGATAAGGTCTTGTTAAGGATTTAAAATTAGAGCTGTTCATAAGCACAGTATTGTTAATGGACAAAATAATAATTAATTGATGTGTCCTGATTATTTACATAGAAAACGACAAGGGAGGGCAGGATACCACGTAGAGTGCTACCGGCACTTCTGTAATCTCACTTCCATCAGGCGAGCCAAGGATAAGTCGAGGAAAGCACAGATATCAACAGGTAATATTTTGTGCATACATCTTGTAGCACAGTTTATTTTACTTTTTAAAACTGTTCATATTATGTTAGTTAATTCCTATAAAATTGAAACTTACATTTATTTATGATATAAAGATTAGAGCATGGAGCACAGCTGTTAATATTATTTAACAGTAACAAATGTAACAAGTGGTCATAAGCTTAACAATTACAACAAATTACAAAAAAATATTTTCTATGCTTTAGTATGTAGGATGTACATGTACATGTAATATACAGGGTATCAGTTGAATGATGTTAATTGAAATAAATATGTATATTTCAGTATTGAGGCAAAGCTTTGTACTTTTTCTATTTTCACAGAAGTTGATGGAGTTTTGGCAGCAAGGAACCTTCAGGAGACGTCAGATGCGTGGGTTGAGCCAGAGCCAAAGCGTCTGTTACGGTCAGATGCCACCAGCAGCCCCTGTCCAGGCAGACCTCATGTCCTACCCATTGAGTGTGTAATATGTAAGAGTACCAAGTATGTTAAAGAAAGTTTTTCTCAGAAAAGGAAAGTAGAGAGGCTTATAAGATGTGAAACACTTTCAGGGGGGCAACTTGTTAAAGCTGCTGAAATCCGCAACGATGAGAAATTGCTCCTTAAAATCAGGGGAAAAGATCTTGTAGCACTCGAAGTTCGTTATCACCGGTCTTGTTACCTATGTTATTGTAGAGTAGTGAAACCTAAAGTAGAAAGTGATGTCCATTTGAAGCAGAGCTATGTGGTCTCGTATGTTAAGTTCTGCCAAAATGTAATAGAAAGGAGGATAATACGTGGGCAGGAAATTCTTCGTCTGACCAAGCTCTTGAAGCTTTTTGTTAAGACAGTAAAAGAGGTAGAAGGTTTGGAAGCAGCAAACTACAAAAGTGCGAACCTGAAACGAAGATTGAAAGAGTCCTACCCTGTCCTGTGTTTCAGCAGACCATCACGACAGTACGAAAGCGAAATAGTATTCGTAGAGAGCCTTGGTGTGGAGGATGTCATAGAGTCAGCTGTAGTTGATGTTTCCAGTGAGGAAAGTCAGAGTGAGAGTGACGGTAGTATGTATACTACAAAGCAAGTACGTACAGATGAGCGCAGTCTGAGAACTTTATATGCTGCTGCACAAATCATCAAGACTTCGCTAGATGACATGGACATGAAGACAACCTGGCCTCCAACATCTGATGACCTTAACATCACGCAAAGTAAGAAGCTCATCCCTTGGCAACTTTTCAATTTTCTTGGATGGATGTCAGGAGTCAGTCACGAGCCAAGAGAAGAGAAAGTAACAGTTTCTACAGATGATGAAAGAAAGGTTCTCTCCATAGCACAGGACATTGTATATCTGAAAACTAAAGGGAGATGTGTTTTACCAAAACACCATGCACTAGGGATGTCAGTAAGGCACCTAACAGGGTCAGCTAAACTCATTAGCATCTTGAATGGGCTCGGCCACAGTGTGTCAAGGTCCGTAGTACTTGCACATGATACTGCCCTTGCCAAACGACAACTTGCCTTGGGTGATCAAATACTTCCGGATGGTGTTCAGCCTATCTTCACCACTCTTGTTTATGATAACAATGATTTTGGAGAGGAAACTGTAAGTGGCAAAGGTACTACTCACAATACCAATGGAATCATTGTCCAGCATCCCATTACCCAACCAGAGCGAGAACCTTCAAAGATTGCGATACCAAAGTCCAGGAAGATAGCATTCGAAGTCCCTCCAGTGGAGCTCGTGACTTACTTTGGACGTAGGACCTCAACCATTTGACAGACTTGGCCTGGAGTGTGAGGAGTACCAAGATGCACAGAGGTATGCAAGAGATATTGACATAGCCTGCAGGCTGTTGAAGACGGTAGAGGTTGGTGAGAAATTGCTCCCAGGATGGACAGGAATGAATGTCATGCTGACTAAACCCGTCTCAAAGCAGTGTACTGTCGGCTACCTTCCAATAATTGATGCAAGTCCAACAGAATTTGACACAGTTAACACCATTCTCACTACTACCCTGTCAATAGCCGATGCCCTCAAGCAGGAATCAGTTGTACTTGTTTTTGACCAGGCCATCTATTCAAAGGCCCAGCAGATACGATGGGTGAATGAAATTTTCCGCAAGAGGATCGTCATTCGTTTGGGTGCATTTCACACTGCCCTATCAATGCTTGCATGTATCGGGAAACGGTTTGGAGATGCTGGTTTGGAGAACCTCATGATAGAGTCGAATATTGTAGCCCAAGGTTCCATTAACGGGGTTATCAGTGGACACCACTACAATCGAAGCATCCGAGCTCACAAGTGTATCATGGAAGCCATGGAACGTCTACGCTGGCAAGCCTACATAAGCTCCCTCTCAGATGTGGACTACGCATCAACATACAAGATCCTTGCTAAGCTTCAATCGGATTTTCCCACTTCTTCTTTCACAGAGTTTGTGCGAGGAGAAGAATTTCAGGCTATGGCATCTTCCTATCGTTCTTTTGTGAAACAACGTTCAACACAAGATCCAACATTTGCTCTGTGGTCAAGCTACATAGAGATGGTGGAAGTCATCCTCCTGTTTCTGCGGGCTACAAGGCAAGGAGACTGGCAATTACACCTTTCTTCAATTCGCAGCTTCCTTCCCTGGTTTTTTGCATATGATCGCACCAATTATGCAAGATATCTACCTGCCTATTGGCATGAGATGAGTCATCTTCCCAACAGTCATCCTCTAATCTACAAGGCTTTCATGGAAGGGAAGTTTGTTGTCCATCGTCAGACAGAACACGGATTCTGTGGAGTGGCTTGTGACCAGACAATTGAACAAACTTGCAACAGGGACACAAAAACAAAAGGCGGCATGATTGGCTTCACAAGGAACAAAGGGGCGGTTGCCCGTTGGCTTCTCTCCCAACATGAAAGAAGTGCAATCAGCAAGCAATGTGAAGAGATGGCTGGAAAGGACCACACATCTGCACTTAAAAAAGATCTAACTGTGTCCAACATGGAGAAAGTTGAAGGGGATGTCTGTGCAGTTGTCGAAACAGTAGAGGCCATGATCAATCCCTTCCAAGAAAATAACGAAGAACTCCTTCACTTAGCATCCGGAGTGATAGCTTCTGCTGATGTCTGCAAGGACTATACTGCAGCATATACAAGTGGGGATGAGGCTTTTAAGACATTCTGTGAAGAACGTCTTCAGGGAGATGGAGACTTGTTCAAAGTCCTTAAAAAGCAGAAAAGAAAATCCTTCGCTACTATGAACAAGGCCTCGACGACAAAAGTAAAGGGGAAAGAGGTAACCATCAAAGCAGATCGCAACCTTTTTCAGCGTTTGGTGATTATTGCAGGAGCTAGGAAACTGGATATTCGCAATATGATGACATATAATCTCGGTCCTCTCCCACTTGCTCTTGCCACCATCGACGGTTCATTAACCAAGACTACAAAGGCTTCCTTACTTCATGCCATTGAATCAAGTGTAGAGCCTGCTCCTGTGGTGGAAGGTATTCCACTTAACAGTGTTTGGATTGTTGATGGGATGGCGATGCTGCAAGAAATCCCTCAGAAGGCTGTGCCAGGTACTTTTGGTGAACTGTCAGAGTGTGTAATTCAACAGCTGGTTCGCCTTGCACATAGTGCCCACTGTGACACTGTACACTTTGTGGTCGACACTTACCGATCCCTGAGCATCAAGGCAGGAGAGCGAGGAAGACGAGCTGCAAGTGGAAGCCAGCTCACAAAGATCTATGGTACTGAGCAAAAGGTGCCCAACCAGTGGAAGAAATTTCTTTCATGTAGTCAAAACAAAGAAGCCTTGATCCGCTTCCTCTTCAAGACATGGAAAGAGAACCCAACCTTGCTTCATGATATCAAAGTTATCTTGGCTCATGATGAGGAATGTCATTCGCTGCAAAATATGGATGGCACAGTCAAGGTAGTAGTTGTAAGGGAACTTGAATGCAACCACGAAGAAGCGGATACCAGGCTTTTCTTGCATTGTCAGTATGCTGCTGCATCTCTCCCTTCATCTTCAAGCAGTACACCAACAGTCATCATAAAGAGCCCAGACACTGATGTTTTTGTTATTGGTGTAGCCAAGGCTGACCAGATTCAGGCCCAGCTACTCTTCCACACCGGTAGAGGCAATAACAAGCGTACACTCAACCTGACAGCTATACGATCTCATCTCGGAGATAGTGTTGCTAATGCTCTCATTGGCCTCCATTGCTTTTCAGGCTGCGACTCAACAAGCTGTTTCTATGGCAGGTCTAAGAAAAAACCATTGAAACTCATGACTGAATCTGTTGATTTCCAAGCAGCTTTCCAAAAGTTTGGTGCTACATTCTCAGTAGAAGAAAGTCTGGTAGACACAATGGAGAAATTTGTGTGCAGACTGTATGATCAAGATTGTACTAGTGTTAATACAGCTCGATACAATAAGTTCTTGATGGGCACTAAAGCTGAAATGAATATGCCCCCCACACATGATGCCCTAGTAAAACACCTCATGAGAGCTAACTATCAATCTGCTATACATACCAGATGCCTTGAACAATATCCTGTGATCCCTAGTCCACACAATCATGGATGGAAGGTAACGGACACAAACATAGAAGTAGTGTGGGGTGACCTTCCACCTGCACCAAGTACCCTGCTTGAGCTTACATATTGCAGTTGCAAGAAGACCAGCTGTGAAGAACCTAAAGCTGCAGGAAAGGGTCGATGTTCATGTCGACAGCACAACATAACCTGCACCGATCTGTGCAGGTGCATCAATTGTAAAAATTCAGCTCAAGCAGAGCATAATATGGATGAGGAAGATACAGACAATGAAGATGAAGACTAGATGTCTGAAAGCTTATGTATCTTGCCGCATTCATTCACAGTAATGTAAATTTGTTCTGGTCTGAACTTGTTTGACCTCTGACATAATTAAGTTAGCTGTGAGTATGTGACCCAGTATGTGAGGTCAGTCAGGTCACTGTAGAGAACCTACCATCTATTCTATCCATCTATATCAATTCATTTGTTTAATATTTATGCATCAAAATCACTTGCGATGTAAGCAGCAAGAATAGTTTGTGACTTGGTAGGGAATTCTTATATTTCGAGTTGTATTAACAGCAAACCAATTCATTTGTTTTATATTTATGCATCAAAATCACTTGCGATGTAAGCAGCAAGATAGTATGTGACTTGGTAGAGAATTCTTATATTCGAGTTGTATTAACAGCAAACCAATTCATTTGTTTTATATTTATGCATCAAAATCACTTGCGATGTAAGCAGCAAGATAGTATGTGACTTGGTAGAGAATTCTTATATTCGAGTTGTATTAACAGCAAACCAATTCATTTGTTTTATATTTATGCATCAAAATCACTTGCGATGTAAGCAGCAAGATAGTATGTGACTTGGTAGAGAATTCTTATATTCGAGTTGTATTAACAGCAAACCAATTCATTTGTTTTATATTTATGCATCAAAATCACTTGCGATGTAAGCAGCAAGAATAGTTTGTGACTTGGTAGAGAATTCTTATATTCGAGTTGTATTAACAGCAAACCAATTCATTTGTTTTATGTTTATGCATCAAAATCACTTGCGATGTAAGCAGCAAGAATAGTTTGTAACTTTTCCAACTACTTGTAGAAGTGATAGAGAATAATTATGTATGTATTTCGAGCAGTATTAACAGAACACTATTTCACCTGTTTCATATTTATGGATCGTAATCATGTGCGATGTAGTGCAAGAATAGTTTGTCAATTTTCTTGTGACTTGTAAAGAAATAGTACATTTTTTTACAGTGCTTGTTTAGAACTGAATGTTAGAATTTTCTGTCCTCAAACCTCAGCCATGTTTATACAGTATAATTCAGTGTAAGTCAGGTGTCCATATCATAAGTGTATAAATCAACTAACAGGTGATATTCAACTTCTTATTTGAGCATATTTATCATGGTTAATATATCATTATGTGAATATTCATTACCAGAAGTTGCCTATATTTACAAGTAGCTTGGTATTACGATGCGAGAGAAAGAAATTTTCTACTGAGATATTTAGTGTTGCAAGAAGTACTAGTTTGTCTCAATATTGTGACGATTTTGTAACAGTTTCATATGAATTTGTATTGGAATTTATCTCTGTCCTTAAAAAGATTATATAATGCTGAAGATTTTGGTTTACGTACACGTATGGCTTATGTGTCATATGTGCAAGTTATGATAATTGTTCAGTAATGTGATCAATATTATACATATTGAATATGATGATGCCTTGTCCTTGTGTGGATACTTTATGTCATTCAGTAAAATGATCTGTCTGCGATGTTTAGTGATGTTGTAGGGGGGGGGGGGGTTAAGGCTAGAAAGGGAGGTTGAGAGAGAGATAGAGATTAAAGAAACAAAGAGGGAGAGAGAGAGAGAGAGAGAACGCAAAAGATGAGAGTGAGTGCATAGAGAAAGAAAAAAAATCATAGAGCGAGAGAGTGAAGGAGGGGGGGGGGGGGTTGACGTGAGAAAAAAATATGGATGACGGATACTTTGGAAAAGAGAGTCAAAGAAAAAGTTGTGATGAGCATATATTTGTATCAACATAAACAATGTTATTATTATTTTTATTATAAAATAAGTATCAGCATCATTATTGGTATAACTATTCATGAAGTTAAAATAAGAAAAACAGTTACCCCACCACCCCCCCCCCCCAAAAAAAAAAAAAAATCCCTCGAATAGGATGTAAAATCAAGCTCAGTTCACACTTTATTCCTTAATCATGTCAATAACAAAGTTCATCATCCTGTACATCACAATATTCACCTCGAAATACAAGAGAACAAGAGAAATCCACACACATTAGGCTTATCTTCTCTATTTGGACTCAAGAGGGCGACAAACAAAATTATGATTAATATAAAGTATGATTACTAATTAATGTGCAACTTTCACGCTTGTCGATTTTGTGTGGTTATTATTCATATTTTTCTCCATCACTGTGCAAAAATTCAGGTAGTTGCCGCTCGGTGGTCACAAGAACCACAAACTAGAGCACTTTTTGATGTATGCATCCCAGTCTACTGGTGGAGGGCGCAGGAACTATGAGACTCGTAGGGATGAGGAGGAGAGCTTCGTCGTCTGAGTTGCTGCTAAGACAACACCGATCGACCTCGCTCCCATAAAAAAGGAATTGCAAGGATAAGACAGATGGTGTTTTTATGGCGATGGGTAGATCAATGATCGAGATTGATGTTGATTAGGACTAGCACTACATCGCTGGACTTGCCAATTGCACGAGCGAAATTTATAACATCACATGTTATTTTTCAAAATCAATGAATTGATATAATCCCATACTAGTACTATATTTCCTCAACTGTAATACAAGGAAGCAGATCCACTTAACATAATTTCAGTTCATATCAGTACGTCTTTATTTGTTATTGTTTTGGTTTTTGTTATGCAAAGTTGTTAACGTTACGTGTGAAGTTGAAAATACACATGTAACAAAATTTTGGCCACCCTTTCTGTTCGTATTGTCTGTACTTCTGTTATACTTGTATATACATATTTATATCCGATAACCAATTTGAAAGGGGTTTTGTTAATAATGCCAATACTTGTACGATCATATTTTTTTAAAATTATATATGACTAAATAATGTACTACGGCATTGATGGAAAATAGCTCTCGGCTGATGACATGCTGTGACGCCGTGTGTATAAAAACTGAACTCCACTAGCTCCTATGAAGAAAAATTGAATCAACCTTTAAGAAATACCAAGTAGTTGAACGATTAAATGTTTCAATGTAATGTTTATCCTCGACCTTGCCACGAAGAACGGTTGATAAGTGCCTATTCGTGTTTCAGATATTTTCTGTATTTTGATCATATATGATATCGACTAAACATCGATTAACATAATTATACAAGTGATTGTTTCATTGTTGCCCGTGTTGTCGTCACTGTCTCTCAAACGTGGAAAAATGAGAGGGATCAACTTTGCAGGGCCCGCAGAATAGCGGGGCTCAGGGGGGGGGGGGGGCTTTCTTAGAAAATTATGTTAAAGAGAAATAGAAAGAAAGAAAGAAAGAAAGAAACACGCTCTATTTGTAATGGTTAAATTGTAAAAAATCATACTTAATGGCTATCCTGGAAACTGAAAAATTACATTACAACGCATACCGATGGGATGGTAGGTACAGGCCTTAGGCATAACAAATCATAGACATGGTAAATGCCCATAAAAGTGGCCTGGTGGAGGCTTTAGTGTACTGACTTGATGTACCGTCTAGAATATAAATTAATTTGATTTTCTCAAGTGTTAAGAAGGCATAGGCGATAAGGGATTTGATTCAAGGACGAAATGTGAACAAGTCGGACATGATTGGCATTCAATTATATGGGTTTGTTGGTTTTACATTAAAATATTGTTGATGTTATGTATATTAATTGTTAAAGACCGTCACCACTACTGGGCCAGAAGGGATTAGACCACACAGAGAGCCATCGAGGTCACTGTGATAGGTGGCTATCTCATTAACTCAGCTCTCATTTAACATAAGAAAAAGAGGATCATGGGGGACCAACAGGCACCGATTGGGGAAGTTTTCTATATAGAGGGAGCAAGTAGCTACAAGTATGGCAGTGTGCCTTTAAATACAAAATGATACATTTTGCTCTATACCTAAACCTCGTGTTTTAGGTACTAGTTCAATGGGCAATGTAGTCGACCGTGTGAGCTCATAAGTATTATCTAAAGTTCCCAAAAGTCTTCATTTAGTGACACTGCGTGTGTTTTTTTAACTATTGACTAATACGCTTAGATCAAAGTTCGAGACATTTTGTGGCACCGCTATATATATATATATATATATATATATATATATATATATTGCTCAACAAAGCGAATGTGCCACAAACTGTTAAAATATGTGAGAGAACGAGATGATACGATACTCGCTTGTTATAATTATGTTTTAAACAGAATTGATATTTCACCTATAAATGTACTCATACAAAAAAAAAAGTCAACGTTAAATTTTCTAATCTTAAGCAAGTGTCCAATTTGAATGAAATATTGCTTAAGAAGTTCAGACCATGACTTACGTCATTAAACTAAAATATAGTGACCTACCAGTTTCACAAATCTGGTAATAATATTTCTGTTTAGAGATAGTGTTGATGTGATTAAAGGCTATATAAAAGCGGAATATTATTACGTATTATCAAAATATGCCAATTTAAAGATAAACTTTAGTACTGGTAATGCGATTGCATTTTGAAAGAAAAGGTGTGGAAAAGAACAGAAACAGTCGATCATGTAGCATGTAAGTATTGGTGTGCACTGCAAGGTTCTGGAGTCATCAAAATCATAATAAACTTGACCGAGCCTTGGTAAAGTAACAAGCACTCACATAGAAAGCTATATATGGGACAACACACATGGTGTCGGGGCTAGTACTACCTTGATTTCCTTGTCTTTCTATGCTCATTACTCAGCCAGTATACATTTTCTTCCAAAATTGTTTGGCACATGTCATTTATTTGTAATCTTGAGCATTCAGTGTAAGTTTCGTTTGATTCTGTGAGAATTTTTTTTTTTTTTTTTACCAGTACTGGAGTTTATCTTTAAGCCAATTTACGCGGCTTCGCTCTCTACGCTCCACCTGATTGTAAATACTAAAAAAACGTTCCGGGGGACCTGAACGTGTACTTGGTAAATGCCAATTATATTGATTCTGCTCGTGTACATATTGTACATTGCGAAACATTGACCCGTTGCCATAGAGATGTACGTGACGCTTTCTATCTGAGAGCCATATTATAATGAAGATGTCAACGCCCACATGATGACTCCTACCTGTCAATCTCTCTTTTCTTTCCTTTCATTCTCCTTGCTCTCTCTCTCTCTCTCTCTCTCTCTCTCCATAATATATATAAATATATTTATACGTGAATTTATATGTATTTATTTATGTGTGTAAATATTAAAGAATATCATGTATCCGATCGATATGAATTCCAATAGTTTGCATGAGATACATTTAGGCCTATATTATACTGAGTTAACTATATATTGGTCAAAGAAGACATAACATTATATACTCACCGCTTGTGCAAATCACTTCCTATAAAGCGATTATATATTATATATATGAAGTAACAATGTCTTTCGATCAGATCAGAGATCCAATGCATGCCTTTATGACCATTAATATTATGAAGAAACGTATCTCATTCTGAAACTTGGTTTCCAAAGGCGAAGTGACGAATACTCCATGCTAGCTATATGCTCCTAAATGATATGCAACCATGCACGTGCATTGAATTACAGCCATTATGTTTATACCCGCTGTTATGGTTACGCTCTACGCGTTGAAGTTGAAGTGCAGTCCATAAAGCTTTTTGTGTATGAGCGGGGAGGGTAGAATCAACGATGTGCATTATTTGCGGACTGGTTTTCTAATTACGGTCATGATCATTGTGTTGATCAACCTGATTTGAACAAGGGACGTGCGTGGAGCGCAAACGATATTAGGGACTTTTAGATTCGCACGAAGACAATAGGTCTATGCTACGATCGACGTCCTTTTAATGCACTGCCTTGAATGGACGCCTCACGTATCAGTCCACGCAAATCTAAAAGTCCCCATTTTTGCAGACGTGAATTTGTTCATGTATCATGGGATGAATGGTCTGTATCTTTATTCATACCAAAGACACACAAGTGTGAGCGTACAGGGAATGGACGCAGTATATATGCATGTTGTATTATATTCTCTGTTGGCGTACGTCGCGTGGCAATCGTTAGATGACCTTTGGACTGTGTACTGGAATTAATGATGAGCGTAATGATCAAATATAATAGCCGTGCTTCTAGGGTGTTTTCTTTTATCATTATAATTCTTTTCATCAATACTATCACAAATTGTAGCTTTTAATCATTCTCTCATACCAAGCGATCATCCTTCTCATTTGTTTATTATTTTCTTTCAGACATACAGCACCAACAATATGGAATACTTTGCCAAATAACATAACATCTATAATGAATTACAATGGATTTAAAAGAAGTGTAAAGCAGCATCTAATTACATATGATTTTGGGTAGAATACTTTTCCACTTATATATATATATATATATATATATATATATATATATATAGTATATATATATATATATATATATATACATATGAGTGTTTTTTGTGGGGATTTTCTTCTTTTTTTTTTGTTATACGAGTTTTCTTTTGGGCAAAATAAGTTTATGTAATTTCAAATCTGTATTATGTTCATCACAATTTGTTTACTTATTTTGGGGGAAATATCTCGGCTAACTCACTTATTTGGGTTTTTTATAACTCCCCTTTTTCCATTATTGTTTAATATTTTAATGTACTTATGTATATTTTAGTGACCGATTTCGCATGTTATTATATGAATGTATTTTTTGTAATGTGATTTTTATGGAAATGAATAAACTTAATTGAATTGAATTTAATTTAATTTGAAAAGAATGGAAAAGGTATTACTACAGCGTATGGAAAACGTTTGTAGTCACGCAAGCTTTCAAGAACGTATATTATCATATTCATTATTTTAATTTCTTACAAGAAGAGGATTTTAAACGTGGGCCAAAACCCACCCCTATACAAATGTCTATTTTGAAAATTGGTCTTTGAGAGTGTGGGCCTACGGCGTGCGTGTCAAACAATAGCCCTTTACACAAAGTTTCATCCTGACCTACAAGTTGTGAAGTTTGGAAAGCATACTTGCCTATTGATACCGTGGTGTGATGGTTGTTAGTTTCTTGTTTTTCCTCACCTAAAAATGCAGATCCCCCTTCCTGGTTGTACTAAAAACTATGTAGATACATGTAGACCTACACCATTAAACTTAGCGCCACCGCACAGTGAGCCAGGGAGGAACCAAAGTGCGCCAAAACTCATGTTTGGGGATTTATTTTTTTATAAATCAAGAGGAAATGTTTGGATTTCCAGGGATTTTCGCTTAAATTTTATTACCAACATTTTCTCTGATGTCGATCTAAGCTTCAAGTTGATACCAGATTTGGCTGCCCGATTCTGCCCGTTATTATGTTAGAGCCGTTTTCCTTGCAACATTGCCCCGAAAAATGTGTTTATTTTGGTCCGCGTTGTCAGAATAAGTGTCACGCGCCCCCTCGCGTCGTGATTTATGACCACGAATCCTTCATGATTCAGCCGCGGACCAAAAAAAAAACACACATTTTTCGGGGCAATGTGGCAAGGAAATCGGGCAGCCAAATTTGGTATCAACTTAAAGCTTAGACATCAGAGAAAATGGCGGTATTAAAACTTAAGCGGAATATCGCGGAAATGTAAACATTTCTTCTGGATTTATAAAAAAAACATGGATAATTAGTCCATTTTTCAGTGAATTACCCTAAAATATATCATGAAGATTGTGTTTCCATTAATTTTAACCCATTCATTCAACGAAATGAACTATCAGTAATATGTGAGAGCAATTTCATATCAATAGCTTAAAAACTTCATGTTGAATTGAAAGATTTATAAAATAAGTCACTTTTGCACTAAAACTGTGAATATGATTTTGCTGTTTGAAGTAGTAAATTTATACCCTTTTTGTGCATACTGGAATTAAATATTTCACTGAGGTATTCCTCTATGTTTTACCTTTCAACTGGGCAAGAAAAAAAATTGAACAAAATAAATCACCCAAACTTAGTTTTGGCGCACTTTGGTTCCTCCCTGGCCCACTGTGCACCGCCATTAAGCCAGGCACCATATTTAGTATAACATTCTGTGTTTCTATAGAGGTCTCCTTGGTTTATTTCGGAAAGTGCAAACTAATATTGTCAAGTTGTTACATAACATCGCTCAGTCTGATTTGATTCGAAATATATTCTATTTTTGAAACATTGTACAGGGTAAAGTCTCAAACAAACCTACACCATTAAAACGATAACCACCACCGTCCAGCGAGGCACCATTTTTTGTAATACCACTCTGTGAATCTAGACACCGAGTTTTCCTTTTTTGTGTGGAAAATGCAATTATTATATTGTTCAGTTGTTCGATAATATCACTCAGTCTGATTTGATTCGAGATATATGTCATTCATGAAACATTGTAAAGGGTAGTATATAGTCTCAAACAAACCTATACCATTAAATTTAGCGCCACCACCATCCAGCCAGCCATCATCATTCTGTGTATCTAAAGACCAAGGTTTCCTTGGTTTATTTAAGAAAATGCAAAATTAATATCGTTTAGTTGTCGGATAACATCACTCAGTCTGATTTGATTCGAAATATATTCCATTCTTGAAACATTGTGTAAAGGGTATAGTCTCAAACAAACATACACCATTAAACCGAGTGCTGATAATGACATGCGAAATTATTTTTTCTCTCTCTGTCCAATTTCTCTCCAATACCCTCCCGCCCCCCCCCCCCCTCTCTCTCTCTCTCTTCTCTCTTTCTCTCTCTCTCTTTCTCTCTCTTTCTCTCTCTCTCTCCTTCTTTCTACTTGCAGCCTTATGTTGTCCTTAGACAGTTCTTAGTGATAAAGAAAGATGAAAACATGTTCATGCAATGGATGAAGGAAGAAGCAGGAGCAAACAAGAAATAAGGTTCAGCTTGCGAGAAATGTTTAGAGGATTGGTGTGACAACTACATGTGATCCAGTCACCAAATGATTATTAGGGTTGAACAGACACAAACATGTAAATGAAAATAGCACCGGGATAAAATAATGAACAGTTGGGAATTCCTGGCCATCTACCATCTTGGGATATTATCACATTGCTGCTAAAGTTTAATGAATGAAAGTCATGTTTGGTATTGGGGGAAAAACTATTTGATAAATGAATGAATATATATATATATATATATATATATATATATATATATATATATATATATATGTATATATATATATATATACATATATGTATATATGTATATATATATATATATAACAACTCGTATTTCCTGTAATGTCTAGCCTTGCTGTGTATAGGCCTACATTGACTGTTTCTCTCTTTTGGCACGCACAGTAAATCGAAGTATGCACACTCTTTATTGAGTACATTCTATCCGTTCTGATTCTCATCAAGTTAGAATGTTACACCATTTTATTTATATTTTGTCGCAAATGATTTTTTATTTACAACACTAATTACTGTATAAATCAATTCATCCGTGAAGTGTGTTGTAAATTCGAGATAGAGTATTAACTCATGAATCTCGCATATATATGTCAAGTAAAAAAAATGCAGATTACAACAAAAATTTTGTATCAAAAAAAAAAAAAAATTAAAAGTGATGTTATCGAGTCTAAAGATTACACTGCTGAGGAAATATTGAGTGAATATTATGTACCTTAGACTTGCTCTCATATTAACAAGTTTGTTGTTGGATTAAGCCGATAAGAACGTCTCCAGAAAATTAAAAACATTATGGGTTGTGCTAAAAGCTCATTTCTTTGTTCTTATCGCCCTTTGTAATTATCCCTTTCTCTTATTTCAAAGTACGGGATCTTAAGTGTGCGATCCTAAGTGTGCGTTCTTAAGTGTGCGATATAAAGTGTGCGATGTAAAGTGTGTGATGTAAAAAGTGAGATTAAAAAGTGTCCGATGTAAAGTGTGTGATGTAAAAAGTGAGATTAAAAAGTGTGCGATCTAAAGTGTGTGATCTAAAGTGTGCGATCTAAAGTGTGCGATCTAAAGTGTGTGATGTAAAAAGTTCGATTAAAGAGTGTGCGATCTAAAGTGTGTGATGTAAAAAGTTCGATTAAGAAGTGTGCAATGTAAAGTGTGTGATGTAAAAAGTGCGATTCAAAAGTGTGCGATGTAAAATGTGCGATCTAAAGTGTGTGATGTAAAAAGTGTGATTAAAAAGTGTGCGATGTAAAATGTGCGATGAAAAATGGATGATTTTTAGTATGCAATAGTGGCCTAAAGTATGTGATGTAAAGTGCCAGATGTATATATGATGTATTGAAAGCGATGCAAAGTATGCCACAATTATTAGGCGATGTAAAGTGTTATGTAAAGTGTGCGATATAAGGTGTGCGATTTGATGTAAAATATGTCATGTACATAAAGCGTTTGATATTAAGGGTGCGATGTAATGTAAAATGGTCACATTAAGCAACCACAAAAATATGAAGTGGGCATGCAGTAGCTGGTCGACTCGTCTCACCCACCCACCCCGACCATCGTCACCTCATTAAAAAATAATAATTATAGAAAAAGGATGAGACCAATACATTATCAAAAATGAAAAAATAAATAGAAACATGCATATCGAGCATCGTGAAAAAAGATGTGTTCATTGTAGGATAAGTTATGGAACTAATGGTTCGAATGAGGATACCAATTAATTTGTATTATAACTGTTTATATGATTGTGCATTTATGGAACTAATGGTTCGAATGAGAACACCAATTAATCTGTGTGCCTATGTATTT